TGTATTATAAATAAATAAACATATCTTTGTTCTAAAGTAAACCATGTCTCTATACTTCTAATGAATATACTGAACTGTCCTAGTGAGGAAATATTCCACTTCTACACCACTTCATATCTTGCCCTGTTGTATTAGAGATCCCTGTCGCTGTGTGCTATGTTGTAGGTGGTAAATTAAAAAGGCTATCCCACTTGTAACAATAGTAATTGATTTATTACTTACCTGTTGATAATGTAGAAGAAAATCTAATAAATTATCATCAATTTGTGGTTTCAGAAAAACATTGAATTTTCTTATATGTTCTTGGTCAAATTTTCTGAAAAGATTTATTATAGTTTCATTGCTTGTATCTATTATAAAGCTATATAAATAGCTAAGAGTATAATTTTATAGTTAAATTGCAATTATAACAAACCCTATATATGCCTTAAATATACCTTTCATAGTTTAGATTTATCGTGTATTTATAAATAATATCTTTAATATATTTTTCTAATAGTAGTTTTTATTTATTTTCCAGATGCAATTTGTGATATTTATCTTTCATTTTATTCTTTTTATGCAAAGTATTGTTAGAATAATCAGAGTACAAAAATGTCACAGCTAATACTGAATTTTAAGGTCTTCATTTAAATCTACTAAAATTCACATATGGGAACCCACAGAAAAAGGGGGCAGTAGACAAAAAAAAAATAATTTCTTGAAAAATTAAAGTATTAAAAATACAATTTTTATAAAATTACAAATCAAAATTTTTTGCTTATTGCCTTTTTTTGCTATGAGGGTTTCTATATACTTTTTTGCTAACAATCCTAATTCTAACTCTAAAAAACTCTAACAAAATCTCCAAAAAATTTCATAATAAAAATAAATCAAAAATTCAGTATTAGACAATTAATACTATACCAGAAGCTCTTTTGCAATCGTTTGCTTCTTTTGTTTAACTTCTTTTGATTTTACACTACTACTAAAACCATTATCATTATTAGAACTTTCATTACTGTTGCTGGTCTTGTTCTGGATGCCAAGGAAAGTAAATTCAAAAATATACGCTGCAAGTTCTGTAGTCTCCTCAGAAGTCTTTTCAGAGATACTCACTATATTTTCTGTAGTCTCCCCAGAAGTCTCTTTAGAGATATTTGCTGCAATTTTTGTAGTCTTTCCAGAAGCCTCTTCAGAAATATTTGCTGCAATTTTTGTAGTCTCCTTAGTAGGGTTCTGCAATTCAATTCAATTTGATTTGATTTGATCAAATATTTGATCTCAAATCAAATTCAAATACAGAAATTTCAAATCAAATCAAATTCAA